AACTCAATTCATATAAACGTAAAATGTAAATTCGTCTCTGCATAAGAACTCGTCGTCTGCCTCTCCGATTTAATCAATTGATGAAAGTTTTCAACGGCGTCTATGTTGTCATGAATTGATTGACGTATACTTACTAAATCGAAGGAAAAAATTGGCAAGTCGCGCATTTTAGATACTAGTGTCAATATATGAGAGTGACATTTAGGATTAGAAAAATAAACCAAATTATGCTGAATCATATAACCCATGCCCAGAGTGTAATATATCAAACAATAATACAGTCTCAACTTGTGTAATATAGAGGTACACTGCATACAAATTAAGTAAAAATGTTTTCCTTCATGAAAACAAGGTTATCTACGTTGTCACACGAATCGTCTTTGTCTTCTGCTTTGACTTCTTTTTTCAAGTCTTTGTTGTTTCGGGTTTAAATACATTTTTCAGCACAAGATAGGCTATATAAGGAGGCCAGTATAATACATATAAGTAAAGAGTATCAAAGACGAAAATGAATACCTATACATCACTCTCTCACTCTCTCAAAAGTCAATATCTACACGAGCAACATATTTCGTTGCTGCATATCTTTTCAAATCTCATGTCATATTTGCATATATTTAGTATACAGTAAAATGCATGAGAGTTCATAAACGTGAAAGTGTCAGCTTTTTATATTCTAAATTCTTGTAGCAGAGGGCGAGGTATTGCAAAATGATTTAAAAATGAAAAGAATTCATCCAGACGCTATGACAAGATTGGCATCTATACCAGACAAAACGACTCTTTCTACAAAGACTGCAAGATATTTTCGTGACTTAATTTATAAATTGTCTCCGACATGATAGAATTCGTATTGATGCACTTGTGCCTGACTTTCCGAGTTAACGTTGTCTGCTATATGCAAAATTCAGAATGACTCCAAATTGACTGTCACTGCTTAACATTCATTATCGTTTCTTTTTAACACTGAGTTTTAGTTAAAAATGTTAATTTTGTATTCAGCTCGTTTATAGCTTGCCAACTTACCGCCAAAAACAATTATCAAAAGTTTCTGAAAACTGTATCAAAAGTTCATATCGCTTTTTTTAATTAATTTTTTGTTTATTTACTTATTTATTCATGTAATACTGATTGGTTAGTACAATTGTTGAGTTTGTCGTTGCTTACTTAGTTGTTAGACATTTTATCTATTTATTTTCCCGTAATTTATGGTCCATCTTTATTTGCTTGTTTGCTTACTTTGTATACTGTTTGCGTTTTCTTTGTCGTTTGTAAATACCTAATTCTAGTTGATGGTCTGGTACTCCCTGTGTCTGATGATTAACTCCAATAATAATGTAACTGTATGTTTAGTACAACTCGAGCTCGATGTGTTCTCATCGTCTTACCCGTGGGTTCTCTACCACGTCTGACCCGTTTTCTCTTCCTCTGTCTTCGGGATGACGGGACCTCAGTGGTTTATTTAATAAATCAGTCATTCATTTTGGCACGCTACTTTTTTTTATCTAAAAATATACAACGTGCTCTCTCTCTCTCTCTCTCTCTCTCTCTCTCTCTCTCTCTCTCTCTCTCTCTCTCTCTCTCTCTCTCTCTCTCTCTCTCTCTCTCTCTCTCTCTCTTTATATATATATATATATATATATATATATATATATATATATATATATATATATATATATATATATATATATATATATATATATATGAATGATAGATAGATAGATAGATAGATAGATAGATAGATAGATAGATAGATAGATAGATAGATAGATAGATAGATAGATAGATAGATAGATAGATAGATAGATAGATAGATAGATAGATAGATAGATAGATAGATAGATAGATAGATAGATATAGTGGTACAAGAAATTTACTAGGAAAACAATACCATTACATCAGGCTAATATGAAAAGAATCATTAAAGCAAGAAGAGAATTTTGTGGCCAAAGTTCAGTGGATGTTGTTTAAAATAATGCAACGAACATGCTGCGACAGATTTCCTAACCGTAGAGAAGTTACACTAGATTTTTGCCAGAAAGACTTTTTAAAACTACACTGGGGTTGACCTGTCAACAACAAAGTTATAAATGTACATATAATTAAAGTAGGTCACTATAACCATAAGATGTCTCTAGTAGACTACATTGTCGCAGTGAAATCTCTGACCACACAGTATACCTACAGAATTGCTATCAAGACCAAGCCTTCACAAAGGTTTAAACCTGTCAACAACATTCATTAATTGTAAGACAGGAAAAGTAGTTCACTGTGACCTATATTCAGCCGTGATAGTCAAGAACCATGCAAGACATACCCTGATTCAATTATATTAGGATACTATACATGTAGCTTGAGCTTTGCCTGAAAGACAGAACTTACTCTCGGAATCAATGTTCAGTTTCTGTATAAAAAATATATTAAAAGAAAGAGCAGGTCACTGTGATCTTTATTCCCCTCTGATGGTTGAAGCATCATCTAAAGAACACCCTAAGTAAGACCCATGTAGAAATTTTGTAAACAGCTAGCAGTAAAACGTCTACAATAACAACCTGACTGCAGAAGATGCAGACTTCGGCGATATAGCAAAAAGATTCCCGGTACTTCGCATGGTTTAGCTAAAGATAGATCAGCTCAACATTGGATAATGAACTCATTTCACGTTTATCGTATTCTGTTTCGTTTTAAGTGATTTATGATGCTATCCAGAGGATAAATCGCAACGAATGTCAGAGTTATCTAATGTAGGACTTTTTTTTACTGTATTACACGCTTCCCTTTTATACCTTTTCCAGCCTAAAGAGACCATTCTGTACCAAGCTGGAATTTTCAGATCGTAGGATTTTATTATGGAAAGTATTTCTCATGACACTTAATTTGAACAGTGGAAACCATCCAAGACGTGGTTTTACTATTGACCATAACAGATTCGTATTAGTATCTGGTAACATAAAATTCTATATCCGTGATTTACCTTTCCGCTATAGCTAACAGTTAGCCAGTTAAAAACCGCAAATAGGATTTTCTAGAACATCTGACATTTTTACTTATTTTGTATTTATATTGACCGTGTATGTTTATATTGAAGGGTGGAATGTTATTAAATTGTTAATGTTATATTTTTGCTGATATTGTGTTTTCTAACGGAGAATGCTTAAAACGTGTACATGACCAATTTCATATATTTCCTTTTTCACATCTTTATTGACTAAATTATACGTAACAAGAAAAGGATTTTTGAAAATTACCTGTATCTTGCGGCATAAGATCTTTTTAAGCACATATTAGGAGAAGTCCGTGATACATACTTTTAAAAGGGGGTAAATTGCCTGTTTCTTATTAACTATACACCCATCCGTGTTTTTAGCATTTTTAGCTTCAACATCGGCAATTTGACTCTAATGTTTCTTTATGCTTTTGTTTGTTGTTTGTTTTGTTTAATTTGTCCATTTAGGTCTCTGTGGCGTCAGTAATACGATAGCGACAAGCGTGTGTTAACAAACTCCAAACCTTTTTGTGAGATGAATCTCAAAATGTTCAGGTAAACTGACCCTTACGGAGAAAGGACATAATGATTTACATGCTAAGCAATGCTGATTGTCTATATTGTGTCTATATGTATGTCTGCCCTTCGGATAATCTCGATATCCACTTGTCAGTCTATCTATTTAGCAAGCTAGTAAGTATGATCTCTATCTCGCGTGCCTTTCTGTAGGCCAATTTTTACCAATGTCTCTCTGGTACTAAACAAAATTCATATACAAGACCAAAAATATCCGCTAAATGCTGTGTCTCCCTTATGACAGTAAAACCTTGAAGGGCACCAAATTACTATGTTGACAGCTGTTTAAAAATTATAATGAGAAGAGAGACAATAATACATTTCAATTGGCAGTTCTCAAAATCTTTGATTATTTTCTTTGAGCCAACAAACCCTTGAGTATTGAAAGAATATCCGCATTAAAATCTATTTTGAATTAATGTGCTTATCTGTTTGGTATAATTTCCTCTGGTAATATTGCTTTTGTGGGAAAAATGAAAATTATATAGTCATGATTCTACGTAAATAAAAGAAATAAATAATTGCTGTCAAATTCATACTTAAATAAAGATTTCGATTAACTCTTGACTTCTTTTGTTGTGCCTAGGGTAAATTATTTTGACAAAGTTCAATATTAAAATTATCTTTAATTGAAGCTCGATAATGTCAGTATCAGTTTCCTTTACAATTGTTACATCTCCATTGCAAGTTTATCAATATGTTGTGTGTAGCTGATAAGATCTGCTGAACTTAAATAGTTGATCTAGACTTTTAATTTCGTATGTTAACTTCTTATTCAAGATACCACATATGGAATAACGAAAATTCTTAACGAATTTCAAAATCCACTCTCAAATACTATTTATAAAATTCCCCGTTAGATTTACAAACTGATTCTAAAAAATTAGTACAAATCTTTATTTTAAAATATATAAGATTTACGGACTGATTAAAAAATGTACAAATCTGGCTTTTAAAATATTTTTTTCAATAAAGTCATACTAAAGTGTCTTCAGTGATTTCCCTCCTGAGGCATATCAAGAAAAGTATGCAGATTGTGATAATAGTACGTAGATACGTCGACGAAATTAGTTGTGTTGTTTTTATAGTCTGAAATTGTGCATTGTCGCTCATTCGTGGATGTTTATTGATATTGTTCCAATGCAAATCCCATCTCATTCCCTTTCTCAACCCTGAATTTCAAGTGACGCATGAGCTACCTATTGAGTGTGTGATTTATATTTTTAACGTAGCTTTAACAAATTGTTCAGTCATAACGCTACGATGCATGCAGTGTGACGGTTTTTATTGATGTCTAGCACTGGGGCATCATGTTGCAGACATGTTGCATGATGTCACACCCAGTCACATTAACCTGACACCAGGCCAACCCGTCTTAACACTAACCTCTTAATCTTAGCGAGGCAGCTGTTAGTACCATTTTTTAAAGTCTTTGGTATGACTCGTCCGGGGTTTGAACTCACCACCTCCCGCATCCGAGGCGGACGCTCTAACCACTAGGCCACCTGAGCAGTTGAAACCTATTGAAACAAATACGCCTGTTACTTTATCAAGGCCTATTAAATGTTGGGTATTCTCCTAAACATATATAGATATAAAAGTATATGTTCTAGTCGTGGTTTCTAAGTTTCAGTTCGAACTACCAATTTAAACAAAATTAAATTATTTAGTCATCGAAAAAGCTGTTTTACCAAATTATAACTGTGTCAAAACGTTAAACTAAATTATATTTGAAACTTCAGATTAGTCTGACAACAATTTTGGCTGGTTATCACATTTGGCAGATTTAAGTTTTCTGTGAAGTTTTCAGCTTCCCAAGTTCCTTGACGTATTCAAAATGTCTCACTTGTCTGTCTTGATCCATTAGCTATATAAATATGGCTAATAGAAATATATGTATGTTCCTTCAGTTCTGCTGCAACCAGAGAATGAAAGAATATTGTATTTTTTTTCAATGAAGAAATTGTTGAAGCTTTGGCTATCAAAAGTGACTGTAATATTGATTTGCAATACGAAACTAACATTAAAATATATCGAACGGTGGAAAGGTAATAAATGTTAAAGGGATGCTAATTCTGACTGTCTGTTGTGACATTATAGTCATGATAATTCGTACAAACGATTCAATAACGTAATTAGAAACAAATAGCAGTCCAGAGGATACGGAGTATCATTTGTTGATTCGTTTGATAATCAATACGAGATTACGTTGTTTACACTGGTATTTTTTTATCTTGCCTAAAGATAATAAATCCTCAAATATAGCATGATGGGAAAGCAAACATTGGGACCCAGAGATGTCCCATAAATTCTCTACTTTAATACTGTTCAACGAAATTATAATGGTAAAAAGCATTTCCTTTTCTTGACCGAACACAATATGTTACTGGGTTTGCGTTCATAAATCTTTCAGTAAAAAGAAACTTTTTTAATTACAAAAATACCCTGCTGAAGGTTTATATTAAAGAAGGTTGAATTTAATTAATAATAACATTTAAAGTCAAAATAATTTAAAACGTAGATCCCTGATAATAAAAAAGACCTTGATACAATCGAACTTTTATATGCATTTTCGCTAGCCACATCGACTTTTGGCTCTGAAAACAATGAACATGTTCCCTCAGCCAGTAAACTTAAATGGCCAATGAGAGCCCGTAACACCTGTTATTCTATCAGTATGGTCACTGTCATTATGTTCATGTTTCTTGAATGGAAAGAAAAACGTGTGCGATCTACTTAAATATTGGAAAAACTGTCATCTGATATGTGACTATGTCTAAAGATGCAAGAGATTATTCTCCACTATCTTCTTCGATATATGTAACGGGGAATACGATTTAACCAGTTTTGATTTCTTCAGGTGCATGTCTTTAGAAAGTTCTGGAATTCTAATGGAAAATTCCTCTAACTCAAAAACAAGACCGGGCCTTGAAATAAACTTTTATTAAAATCAGGTTTATTACATACAATCATGATAACATAACTGGACCCCACAGAAGAATTCTAAATAATTGACAGAAAAATACTGGAAGACAATGTCGTGTAGAATGGATTATCATATCAGTTCTCTTTCAAATCAATTTGTCCTCATGAAATCATGTAAAATTAAAACATTAATTTGTAGCAGGCAAAGTTAGTGCATGAATATATCAGCCAAATGCGCGTGCACTGTGTCTTATTATATTTTATCTTTAAAAAAATTAAATAAAAATGGGCAATAGGTATCAGGGCTTTTAGTTTAAAGCAAGATTTGGTACTTATTTGTCTTCCAATGTTAGGAATACAAACAGGAAAGCTAACACATTTCCATCTTTTAACTTCATTCTTGGTTGCTTCTCCAATGTAGTTTGTCAGCGCTGATGATAACACTAACATGTGTATAAGACAGAATGATAGAAATCCTATTTTTTTTTTTCATTTCAAAATTCCTAATATCACCCATTAATACAAATCTGAAGTCAGTTCATATAATTTGAAATGAACGAGAGATGTTGCGGGATATATAACAGATAAGTTAATTGCTATCTGGAAACGGCTAAGCAAAATAGAAAAAAGAAACTGAATGAGGTTTAACACAATCTGTTTAAGGTGGTTTTATACATGCGAGATGTCAGTCATTTGGATGTAAATAAAGGCAAATCCAAACATATACAGTAGACTGCATGTTCAACCCGCTGCGAGAAAGTAAAGTGACAGGATACATATAAGGGACGTGACAGGAATCAGACAAGGACAGTAACAGAATTTTCGTCATGTTTGGCGGGATACAGACAAGAAAAGTGAAAAGATTTTTATTTGTTTAGTTAGGATTCAGACAAGGAACGTGACATGATACAGACAAAGAAAGTGACACGATTTGCATCCTGTTTGTCAAGATACAGACAATGAATGTGAAAGCTTACAGACGGGGGAATTGTTATAGTTTGGGGTGGGGTGCTCCCAATATTTTATTTAAACTATTAAAGAAGTCCCACCTAGGCTCTACTTTGTTCAATGTTAAATGTAGTGAAAGATAGATGTAAAGCTTCGAGCCCCCAGTCAATAATGCCTAAGGTTAAATATATAAAAGGTTGAAATTCAATGAATAAAATTTTAATAATATAATGATCAAATGCTTCAAATTTCCTTCTACACTCCTTCCGCTCAAAACTTTAATAGCATATTGCATCACTTGATTAGCAGTGTGAGATCGATTTCCACCTGTCCTTGTATTCTACTCATTTGTGGTATTCTTCTCTTTCCTATTTCTCCCAATTCCTTCTCATCTTCCTATCCGACGTTCTCCAAATTCACTCTCCTCCTCGACTTATCTCTATTCCTTCTCCTCCACTACTTTTTCCTCCAGACTCTGTTTCCTCCTCCTCCACCTTCTCTCCCTCGACTAAACTTCTGTAAACATCGACTGTTCGGCTAGTCTCAATTCCGTCTCCACCAGACTCGAGATTCAACGGAACCGAAAGTTCTCTGTCCCCTAAAAAGCTTCCTGTGAAAACACAAGAAAGATAAGGTCTTTTCTTTAGCCCTCTCATCTCATAATACACACTGCCTATCATCAGATAACGGCTATTAAATTTCTTCGATCACGCTTCTGTTCACATCGAGATACCCATACGTTATTATACGGTAAAACAAACGTCATGATACAGCACGGTATCAATTACTTGTTATACATTCATCAATAAATTCATTCACATCAGTACATATTCCTAATCCCGTTATGCCAAACAGTATTATAATAATCAGACGCATTCCTTTTCCTTACACTCATACAAAGTACACAAATATTCAAATTCCATGCTCTGATATACGCATCCGTCCATAGTAACTAACATATTTCAACCATTTTCCAAACTCATAATTCAATAATGCTTAAATTATAACTTAACGCATTAATAAATGCACTAATTTACTACGAAGTATTCTAATAGCGATTTACAAAATTCTGACCACAATCTAGTAATCTACTTTATTCCGCCTCGCATCTAAAAATTCTCTAAGTGGGCTCAAGCCCATTTATGAAATACGCATTTTAATGAAACTCTACAAAGGTAACTATGCATACTAAACAATCCCAATAATTAAGTATAATAATTATAATTATGATGCCGTAATATTCTGCAAAAATTTAGCAAATAACTTACTCACCTTTATGAAGCTTTTCTTTCCTTTGAATCTACCTCTATAATTTACCGTCAAATTACGAATGGCTTCTCTCGGAGTCCCCCTATTGCAATCTTCCTAGGCGAATACTAACTTTTCATGTAAAACGTGAAATGTAACAATTGCGCCGAATTGTATTCACGCCCTCTATCTAAATTTTTGATTGGATATCTCTGTGGACAGATTTAATCAAACTTAGTAGACAATGTCCCTCTCGCTGTCTGTCACCGTGGGGACGGATAAGAACACGCCCCATTCTACCCGTGGACTTTCCGTTTGATCTTAGACCAACCTTAACACATAGGTGTGAAGTGGTGCGATCTATCACCTTTTGCAGATTCAAGATTCCTGTCTTTGGCTGGTCAAGGTAACCTTGCGCAAGAGATTAACACTAGCCCGCGGAGATCTTTAGACATCAAACACATGGCCGCGGTAATATTCCCAAAACAGGTAGATTATAGCTTATACTTGACTTTATAGCTGAGGCATGGCAAACGGCAAACAAGACACAGACAAGGCAAGTGACATGATTATCATCTGGTTTATCAGGATAAAGTATAGGAAAATGAAAGATTTTCATCCTGTTTATCAGGATACAAAGAAAATGACAGGATTTTGATCTTTTTTGACGGGTTACTGACAAGGAACGTAACATGAAACAGACTAGGAAAGTGACACAATTTTCATACTGTTTGACGGAATACAGAGAAGAAAGTGATAGAATACAGACAAGAAAATTTAGATGATTTTCATCTTGTTTGTCAGGATACAGAAAAGGAAAATGACAGAACAGGGACAAAGAAAGTGACACTATTTCATCGTATTTCTCTAGATACAGAAGACAAAGAAAATTAAAGCATTTTTATTATGTTTGCCAGGATGCAGACAAGGAACGTGAACAAATTTGCATCCTGTGTGTTAGGATACAGTATTTTCTTGCTTTTTGTCAAGATAGAGAGTAAACCCGATATATGAGATTTTCAGTATTACAATGTACAACCAATCAAGGCGAGAAAAAAATAACATTATCCTCTTCCTTTTCTTTATTACGAACATTGATTTAGAAAAAAAGAAAAAAGAAAGGAGTCTCTATCAGTATCATTGAACGTTTTACTGTTTCAATGATTAAGATGTACTTTTATTTCAAAACTAAATTTAGAGTTCCCACTGCAGTATTAGAACCTGGATAAATATTCAGAAAGCACATCTCTAGAATTCGTTACTGTCAGAGCCGTCTGTACTCGCTTCTAAGTCGAATACAACTCCAAATTATATAGACCCGCATTTGCCGGCACATCTGTGTCTATACAATCATTAGGAGTAATCAGTGAAACAAACAACAAATG